ACATTTTAGTCTAAAAACATTACATACAAAAATGTTACATTTCTCCACATGATCTATGAAACGCAGTGGGATGCAAAATAAACCTTTAATTACAAAGCTTTGGTCACTCTGATCTTTATTTAGTTGCTGCATTAGGCCATCTGTTTTTTCTTTATTACTAGTTCAAATAACCTGGACAATATGTAGAACATATGGAGGTCCTGAGGTGACATGGTGAGTATTTTATAATAAGCGGTGGCCACAAATTAATACATTAAGGCCATGACTTGAGTTTCTCGTAACATTTGGCCTCAATATTTTTTTAGCCTCAGTATATTCATTTGTGGCCTCAATATAGTATATTGTGGCCTTTATATATGAATTTGTGGCGTCAATAGAGTTACATGTTGCCTCAATATAGTAAACTGTTCCCTTAATATAGTAATTTGTGGCCTTAATAGATTCATTTGTGGCCTCAATATATTAATTTGTGGCCTCAATATAGTAAACTGTGGCCTTAATAGATTAATTTGTGGCCTCAATATAGTGAATTGTGGCCTTGATATATTATTTTGTGGCCACAATTTAGTAATTTGTTGCCTCATAATAAAAATTTGTGGCCTCAATATAGTAAATTGTAGCCTTAATATATTAATTTGTGGCCTTAATATAGTAATTTGTGGCCTCGATATAGTAAACTGTCGCTTGAATATATTAATTTGTGGCCTCAATATAGTGAACTGTGGCTTTAATTTAGTAAATTGTGCCCTCAATATAGTAAAATTTGGCCTCAATATAGCAATTTGAGGCCTCAATATAGCAATTTGAGGCCTCAATATAGTAAAATTTGGCCACACTGTATTAAAAATAATCACCACATCACCTTAAAGACTCCATAAGAACATGAAAATATACTCACTCATAGATGTAACTGTATTAGCGATAGCGTTAGCACAGGCTTATTATGTGTGTGAGAAAGCCTGTTTGGAAACCTGCAGGATGGAGTGGAGGGCCTTTTGTGTTTACACTGACCTCCTGTCAGTCATTTTAAGACCCACCCCTACACCACATGACTCCGCCCCCACCTATGTCTATAAATGATGATTTTGTATGTATTCATCTTGTTATTATCTCTATTAACATCTTGGGTTTAAATACATCGCAACACATAACGTATCTAAGCTCTAAAAATGTTTTTTTTATTTATTTTATTTTTTTACTGTGGAACCGCAGTTTGAACTAATTCAGTAAAATGCTACAGTGGCTCAAATCGAAATGAGGAAAAAGTAGATTAATTACTTTCATCACTAACATATTGGAGTAGAAGTAACAGTACTAACGTTAGTAAATTCTCCGGAGAACAAATTCTGAAAACCAAGCAGTGAAAATTTCTGATGCACTTTATTTGACAACAAGTGTCAGACAGTATCAGTTATACGAGACAGAATCTATTCAAAAGTAAAATAAATCATGCTGGTGATTAATAATCCACTGCTGTCCTGATTAAACACTCTTATATCCATGTCTGTGAGTGAGTCTCACGAGGTTAACAGTCGTGTAATATTGTGTGCATATCTCAGTGAATATGTCACTTATAATGATGTACACAGTGTTCGTAGCTTTAACCCAGACATCATGACGTCCGAATGTCTTTATTCGTTTACTAAAGTGAGCTGGTGTTAGTGTGGTGGGTGCATGGCATAGGCTAGCTTGTGATCAGCAAGCTTGCTAAGTTGAGCCTAGCTTACAGGGTGGACGATATGACAGCGTCTTGAATCTTCAACACTAATGTTTTGGCCAAGTACATCATGTTGCTATCAAATATCTAGTTTATTTAGCATTAGGCCATATTTTTCAGTGTGCAGGGTTGCCAGATCTCATACTTAATCTGCAGCAAGACTGAACCACTCTGTAAACAATGGTTCTTCAAATCAACCTAAATAAAAATGACTGGTCAGGACCCCCATGGACCCTCACAGAGCAGGTACTATTTGGGTGGTGGGTCATTCTCATCACTGCAGTAACACTGATGTGGTGGTGGTGGTGGTGGTGTGTTAGTGTGTGTTGCGCTGGTCTGAGTGGATCAGACACCTCAGTGTCACTGCTGGACTGAGAATAGTCCACCAACCAAAAATATCCAGCCAACAGCGTCCTGTGACCACTGATAAGGGTCTAGAGGATGACCAACACAAACTGTGCAGCAGCAGATGAGCTATCGTCTCTGACTTTACATCTACAAGGTGGACTGACAAGGTATAGAGTGGACAGTGAGTGTTTAAAACTCCAACAGCACTGCTGTGTCTGATCCACTCGTACCAGCACAACACACACTAACACACCACCACGTCAGTGTTACTGCAGTGCTGAGAATAAATAGTACCTGCTCTGTGAGGGTCCATGGGGGTCCTGACCACTGAAGAACAGGGTAAAAGGGGGCTAACAAAGTATCAGAGAAACAGATGGACTACAGTCTGTAACTGTAGAACTACAAAGTGCACCTATATAGTAAGTGGAGCTGATAAAATGGACAATGAGCGTAGAAACAAGGAGGTGGTCATAATGTTATGCCTGATTGGTTTATGTACTACTAGGAATTTATAATCATTATTGGTTTATAAAGTAAACAGCCAACATATGTTACTATATGTTTGATTTTTAATTGAATGGCGTTCTCTTTCAAATCTATTGTCTTAACTAAGTTTTAATCGTGCTTTTAATTTCTGTTCTCTTTAACCTACTTTTTTGAATTCATTTGTTTTTTCTCATTTGTAAAGCTCTTTGAATGACAGCAGTGATTGAAAGGTGCTATATAAGCTATGCTATATTGCTTCTTTGTCTACTTTTTTCTATCATTTTATACACTGTAAAAAATGTTTTTTTTAAATCAACCTAAAAATTGCTTCATGTCGTAACAATCAATTGAACTTTATTCAACTCCAAAATTACTTTGATTAAAAGAACTTATTTAGGTAGAACAAAACCAATTAATTTACTTGATACCACAAAGAAATTTTTAAGTTTGAACCATTTTTACAGTGTAATGAATAGATGATTAATAAATCCGAAAATTCAGATGTCATCCATTATTACTGAATATATATTTTGGTTGCTAATGCAATGTCTTTTAATTGAAATGCTCAAATGATTAATGTTAAATACTTTGGTAAACATTGAAAAACAGTGGTGTTTTTCTTGGTTATGTTTTATATATTATATATTAGATATATGTAAACAATCTGCTAAGTGTTTGCAGCCTGTAATCAAAAGTGAAAACAGTTCAGTTGTGTATATATTTCTATAAAAGCCCATAAGTCATTTACAAACCTCTTCATACAACAGGAGATATTCGTGCATAAACAACCAATATAAACACTTCTATACATCCTGCCTTCACGTCATTAAGGATGCAGGTGTGAACTAAACAGTTTAATTGAACTTTAGGTGAAAACATGAAGCAAACTATTGGGATCTGGACCTTGGTGTCCTCATAGCCAGTTACAGCCATGAGCAGAATGCATCCAAATGGTGCCTATAACTCAGTGGTGGACAGTAACAAAGTAAATGTAATTCGTTTCTGTACTTAAGTAGTTTTTTCGTGTATCTGTACTGAATTATTTCCATTTTGGGCGACATTTCAAAGTCAAATGTCTCACTTTTTACTCCACTACATTATGAGAAATCTGTCGTTCCTTTTGGTTTATGTGTTTATAAAAACATAACGTCAAAACGAAAGAAGCGCAAAGTAAGAACACCAATCAGGGCACAGCGGTCACTTTGTTTAGAGCTTGTTTTGACCTGTTGGTCATACCGACCCAGTGCAGCACACGGTTCAACATCAGTGCAACAGCGTCAAATTTTGGGAGAGTCTATTCAACATAAATGATGAACTAACCTAACTTTGTGTAAACAGACCACAATATAGAAATATGTACTCATATGCAGTTGTGACTGACGTGTTTTTATTCTGAATTTATACAAACACATTTCATTTTATAGTAAATTAGTTTTTGCTAGTTTATGTTTATGAACAGAGACCTACAGATGCAGTTTAGTAAAGGAAACTCATTTGAGAATCTGAGTTTAAAGTTTTTATTAAACTTAAACTTGTAACTAAGTTGAATTAAGTTAATTAATCTTTTAGTACTTTTGTAGTCATTTTTTAGTACTTTTGATACTTAAGTACATTTGAAGGCAAATCCTTTTGTACTTTTACCCAAGTGGAGGTCTAAAGGGAGGAACTTCTACTTTTACTGGAGTAATATTTTACCTTGGGTGTCTCTACTTTAACTCAAGTACATGGTTTGTGTACTTCGTCCACCACTGCTATAACTGCAGCAAAAGCCTCAGTATATCGGGCCTTAAATATTTTCGTGTCCACTGCTATTATAGAAGACACAGCTGATGCACGTCACTGTGCTTTATTAAAAGCTGTATCTGGCCACAGCCACGCTGTACAAAAAGGACCTTTCGTCTAACAATTCGCTCTAAGCCTCGCTATGTTGTGCTTCCTAGTCCATCACCAATAGACTAACGCAGTACTTCCTAATCTAATGGAACACACTCAGGTTAGCCCTGCCTCCAAAATAAGAGAGAATGAATGCTAAAGAGCTAACATTTTGAACATGCTATAATATCTTGAAGGATCATGTTGTTATGTTTTTTGTCATATCGTTCACCCCAAGCTTACAGAGCACCAGAAGCTACTTTAACTATTTTATGTTTGAAATAGTTCCACCACTTTATAAACTCCAGCTGAATCCCTGAGTGTGTGTCTGTGTGTGTACTTGTCTTGCTATCTCTGTGAGGACCAAAAGTCCCCACAATGAAAGCATAGTTTGAAATTTTGGTGGTCCTCACTTGATAATGTGCTGTTTTTGTTTTTTTTTAAACCACAAATCAATTTTTTGTTGGAAAAACTAAAAGAGCAGAAAGATTGGTCACCGAGGTTATGGTTAAGGTGAGGTTTAGGTTATAGATTTAGTATTGCATAGCTACAGTGACACAAAAGTCTATGGAAGTCCTCACAAGTATAGTTAGACAAGTACGTGTATCTGGAAGCTTAGCGGCTGTGTTCACGATGGAGTTCTGAATCTTCACTGATGTTCTGAGCCTCTTCTGGACGAACCTGCAGGACTTCAGCCTCTCCGATCAGCTCTGCAACACACACACACAACCACACACACACACAGTAGCGCAAACTGTATCTTCAAATGGCCAGGACTCACCAGGGGATCCAAAGTTTCATTACACACTTCTATAACTCAAGAATAACTCTGCCACTTTGCACTGAAGTCCCTGTAGTTACTGAATAATAAGGCTTAGTATGTAATAAATCTGGGATTTTAAGATGTTAATAAACCCCAGTGCAAAAAAACGAATGCCCCTCCATTCAAAAATGACTTTTAATGAATAAAAATAATTCCACATCTCCACTCTTAAGGCTCCACTTAGGGCTGATCCAAAAAGTGTCTATTTCTGATCTTTTATCTGCTCTTCTCTGCTCATAACACAACTTCTGAATGCTGCTGTTGTGTTTATCTGACATGTAAAGATCTAACAAAGCTGAAAACACAGTTTGTGTCAAAACCGACTTTTCCTGAACAAGATAACACATGAGCAGTAATATAAGTCACACATCGGTGGCGCTTTATCCTTGCTCTGATTAAACAAATCAACCAAAAGCTGCTACTGATATGAACTGCGCTCTGAATGAGCTAATGCTCACTTGAAAAGAAATCAGAGTATATCCAACAATAAAGAAGCCACATGCATCTTTTATACAGTGATAGGAAACACAGTAGCTCAGTTCTACATGCTAAAATCAAGGCGTGAAACAAAGGGGGTCCTGAGAGATCCAGAGCCCCCCCAACTAACCTCTTGGACCCCTTGAATGTCTCTAAATCAGAATATTGCGGGATCTGTCAAAATGACATTATGCTGCCTGTCAAATTTAGGCTGCTTCACCCACAATCAGCTTCTGTCTTTCGTGTTCTTAACTAGAGCTGCTGCTCTGCTCTGCCTCAGGGTGGCGCTGTAGCAGACTGGTTCAGTCCCAGTTGGTCCTTCATAGCCTAGAAACTGTAACTCTGCCTGGATTCCTCTGAAAAACTTTACAATGAGCTGCAGCAGATCTGTAAATCTGAAAACTCGCCCAGTTTCCCAAGAGTTTGGAGTGAAGAGTGACTGTTCCTCATTTCTCACACTGAAGACAGAAGAGGAGACGAGGAGGATCTCAGTTACTGTGAGGAAGAGCGCAGAACCGCACTAGAACAGAGACTTTACAGGAGAACAGCTGATAAAACAAACATTTTGTTGGTATTGAATCTAGCATCAGTGCTGCTATGGTGAATGAGTTAGTAGCCAGCCAACATGGGACCCTGAATACCAGGGGGTGTTTCACACACTGTTTAAAATATATGAAATGATTTTACTGGGACGTGTACACAACGTAACTACACTGGCAGCAGATTTAAACTGATTCTGTTCTTGGGCCCAGTAAAAATGGTACTGAAGTCCATCTACATTGACTTTTGTACAAGTTAAGTAGATTTTTCACTCTCCTGTAAAGTTACAGATATGGAGAAATGAGGTTTAGTTCCGTCATATGATGTTGCAGGCTGTGAAGGATCTGTTCGAACACAGTTATCATGGATGAGCTGCATTAAGAATAAGATAGAGATGGACAGCTGTCAGTTCGGTCTGTGTAGTGTTGATGGAAGATGAATGGAGAGGCATGTTGATAAATTGGATTTTCTGTGAGTCATAAATCTACATGAGGAACCCAGTGAAGATTTTAGCGCTAGGGGTCCCAGTGCAATTGCACCACCTTCCCACCAATGACCAGTAGTTACGTCACTGCACACATACACAGAGCAAATGCTTCTAAACAGAAACTCACACTATAGATCAAAAGAATTGAAGAAAGCAGTGATAATTCTAAAGTTCCCAAAAGATTAAAGCTGCCAACAGCTAAATGAAAAACATCACAACATCAAGCAAATTAGTTGAACATTATCGCTGCACACATTCGGGAACAGAGGTGTCTGTCCTGGGTTCAAAACATACATTATATGGACAAAAGTATTGGGACACCTACTCATCACACCTACAGGAGCTTTTATGAATCCCATTCTAAATCCAAAGGCATTGATATGGAGTTGGTCCCCCTTTGCAGCTTTAACAGCTTCCACTCTTCTGGGAAGCTTCTACAAAATGTTGGAGGGTGTCATCCAGAAGAGCATCTGTGAGGTCAGATGCTGATGTTGGACGAGAGGGCCTGGCTCACAATCTTCATTATAGTTCATCCCAAAGATGTTTGATGGGGTTGAGGTCAGGGCTCTGTGAGGGCCAGTCAAGTTCTTCCACACCAAACTCACCCAGCCTGACCTTATGGAGCTGCTTTGTGCACTGAGGCTCAGTCATGCTGGAACAGGAAAGGTTCTTCCCCAAACCTGTTCCCACAAAGTTGGAAGCTACAATTGTCCAAAATATCTTGGACTGCTACATTAATATTTACCTTCACTGGAACTGAGGGTTCTAGATCAACCCCTGGAAAACAACCCCATAGCATCATCCCTCCTCCACCAAACTTTACAGCTGGCACAGTGCAGTCAGGCAGGTAAGGTTCTCCTGGCACTCGCCAAACCCAGACTCGTCCATCAGACTGACAGATAGAGAAGCTGATTCGTCACTCCACAGAATACGTTTCCACTGCTCCAGTCCAGTGGTGGCGCTTTACTCTACTCCATCAGACGCTTGGCATTGTGCATTCTGATCTTAGGCCTGTGTGCAGCTGCTCAGCCATGGAGACCCATTTAGTGAAGTTCCTATCGTACAGCTCTTTTGCTGATGTGGCTTCCAGAGGTGATATGGAACTCTTTAGTGATTCAACAGAGATTAGGCACTGTACGCTTCAGCACTCAGTGGTCCCACTCTGTGAGTTTGGGTGGTCTACTGCTTCGTGGCTGAACCGTTGCTCCTAGGTGCCTCAATTTCACAATAATAGCACTTACAGTTGTCCGGGGCAGATCTAGCAGGGCTTAAATTTCATGAGCTGACTTGTGGCAGAGGTGGTATCCTACGGCAGTGCCATGTTTAAAGTCACTGAGCTCTTCAGTGTGACCCTCTACTGCCAGTGTTTGTCTATCAAGACTGCAAGACTATGTGCTTAATTTGATCCACCTGTTGGCAATGGGTGTGGCTGGAACACCTGAACTCAGTAATAAGGAGGGCTGTCCCAATACTTCTGTCCATAAAGTGTATTACAGTCTGTTGGAAAAGTTTTTCAAAGTCAGTGCTAACTTTCAAACTTTAGGCCTGTAGTGTAAGACAACACAAAGTTCACTCAACTCAATCCTGCTTTCAGAAATACTGCCACAGCAAAACTGCCCAAAAAGGTCATGTTCTTCTCTTTACAGAAGACTCGAGAACATGCTGATCGCTGCTTCTTTTGAAGACAGCTTTCTGACGCTCAGACATTTCAAAAGTGCGTACTGCTTTGGAGTTTTAGATGTGATTTCACTGGAGGGAACATGGAGGTTTGGTGGCCTTTCTCTGGACCACAGGATTAAAGAAAGTCTGCTTTAGTATCGGCCTGTACCGACTTTAAAAGAGGGTCACATGTATCCAGCTGCAATCTCGTGAACACTAAAGGGATTTTTCAGACTGTTGAAAATGAAAAGAAAGCAAAAAAGTAAAACCTTTCAGTCTCTACTGCAGCTCTACCTGCAGAAAGACTCAGTTTCATATAGTGTTCAGTAAATTTAGGTGCCTCTATTTTAGAAGGACATCCTGTGCAGAAGTCTTAGGCTGACCAATTGTGTAAAACTATGCAAAAAAATTAATTAAATAATAATAATAATAATAATAGTAGATTTATGTGGCTATTTTCTTAACTTCAGCTTTTGGTTGCATAAATGGTCAAGGATAAAATCTGCAACCTCATTTTAAACAGACTTAGGACTCAACAGCAAAACTCCTGTTTCTTCAGAGTTTAGCAGGGGAAGTTCCTGCTTATCCCAAACCTGACAAGCATTAATGTGTATCAACAACATAAAAGAGAAAGCCGACATTATGTGTAAAAGGGGCTGTAAATAAAAGGAGAACAGTGAGGGCCCTAAGACAGAGCCCTGAGGAACACCCTATTGCATTATTTGTGTAGAAAAGTCTCTATTTACACTAACCAGCTTGCAGAGATTTGTTTGTGTTATTTGTACTTATCCTACTGTTAGTGTTCGTTAAGCAAATATACATGAACTACCCACACAAACAGCTTTGTATATCATTTCCCCAGGCAGACTAAGACTTTTATAAAGTACTATACATACACGATACTGCTTCAAAAAAACATTTCTAACCTCATCATGTGCCTATACTGTTTATTGAGGTTGTTTATGGACTAATATCACCTATGTTAGTGTATAGGAGTGTTTATTGAAAGTTGTTTATGTACTAATATCTCCTTTTCTAGTGTATGAGAGTGTTTATTGAGGTCATTTATAGACGAATATCTCCTATTCCAGTGTATAGGGTGTTTATTAAGGTCATTCAGGTACTAAGATCTCATATTTTAGTGTATATATATATATATATATATATATATATATATATATATATATATATATATATATATATATATATATATATACACACACACACACACACATTACAGGAGCATTATTTAGGCTATTATGGAGTAGTGTATCATTAAGACGTGCTGAACCTGAGGATATAATACTTAAAAATGCAACATGATCATGCAAAATTGCAAAGACATGCGGGACGCAGGGTTAAATATAAAAAAAAAAAAAATTTATTCATGTCCTGTATTTCATGATAAAATTGGTATGTTTGATTGTGTGGAGAAAAAAAAAAAACTGATGGACAGACAGATGCAAAGATGTTACCTGGTTTCTCATCGAGTGCCTCCTGAGCAGAAGACAAACTAAGAAAACAGAGGAGGTAGAATTAACAAGTTGGAAAAACAATTCGTACTGATTTGTGGGCGTCATACCCAGGAAACTAACATTCAGACACTTTTGTTTGTGTTATTTAATAAAGTTACACTGCATAAATCCACTTCCAATTTACACGTTATGTCTTTTAACTTTGTACTTATAAATATGAACAAAAAGTATATATTCATAAGCCTAAACAAAGATATTCAGACAACACAAAATAATAACATTAGCGATTTGCTGCAAAGTTGTTGATGGCAATTACAGCTCCAAGACATCTAGAGCAAGAAGTAATTACCATTCTGCAGCATTGTGGTTCAATTTTTTCATGATAATAACAATAACAGAAATAATCATATCTGTATTTAAAAACCGCTTTACAGACAGGTGATAAAACCCAACACTAATAGAAGAAAAGAAGAAACTATGAGTATTAATTTAAAATCATGTAAGATAATAACACAGATCAGATTAAAAACAACACAGTCAGAGTTTAATGAAGCTCTGAGTTAAAGAGCTGCGTTTTCAGTGAGCTCTGAGCTCGACTGTCTAATAAAAGATGAACTGAGCTCCACAGTTTAGAAGCAGAATAATTGAGAGTGTCTCTCTATTTTTGGTTCTGTTTTAAACCTGTTCCTCTCAGTCGTTGATTCCCCAAGGGTCCCGTCTTGGACAATGAGAATCAGTTCTTCTCTAATCTCCTGGTATGTCGCTCCATTCATGTGTCCACTGATGGCGTGTAAAACTGTAGTACGGCTGGCAGAAAAGCAGCTCCATATCATGATGCTCCCACCACCATGCTTCACTGTGGGTGTTCTTGAGATGTGTGAAGTCTCCCCACTCAACGGCATTGTTGTTTACATTTATGAATATTTTTCTAAGTATTTTTCTTATCAGTTTTGTTTTTTATGTTCATATTTATAAGCCCAAAGTTAAAAGATATGATGTGGACCACCACCCAAATAATATTTGAACAACAGCGGCCTTGTGACCATTAATCTGACCAATGATGAACAGTGCAGGAGCTGATAAATTGTATTCCTGTAGATAGACTTACTGTACACCTACATAGCGGAACTATAGTCCTCACCTCTTGAGCCTTCGTTTGCGGCGGGACAGTCCTGTAGGCGGGTTGCGAGGGGGCTCAGTCTGGGCTGTGAAGGGAAGCTGATGCTGGTTGAGGTTGGGTGAGTCAGTCATGGCCTGCTGGAGCAGCCCCAGAACCAGCTCCTTCTCTGAAAACATACCAGGTTATTCTTATTCAACGTCTCCTAAAAGTGTCTAATCCACGCTGTTTGTTAAACTCCCAGTCCACTGTATCGATTCTGCTTTAGGGTTCTCAGTGGTGTTCAGTTCTCTCCCGGCAGACCGACAGCGGAACACATGCAGGCTTCGATTTGTTCAGCCTAAACAGATTCCAGCACACACATTATTTATCCATGAGCTGCTGTTTTATCTGCTATTCCACTGTTTTACTGCTGTGTACAGTTTGAGGAGGTTGACATCGATCAGTTGATGTAATGTTTATCTTATTTAGCTCTTAAAGCTCCCTGACTGGAGCTTTGAAGCGTAGAGAAAAATCAAATACAGCCAATGTTCCCCTGTCAATCATCTGCTACGTTTGGAGACAAAAGTTGGCTTCTTTAGCTGTAGCGCTGAAGTTTATAAGTGGCCACTTTATTAGAAACACCTACCTTGTGCTTCCACTCACTGGCCATTTTATTAGAAACACCTGCCTTGTGCTTCCACTAACTGGCCACTTTATTAGAAACACCTACCCTGTGCTTCCACTCACTGGCCACTTTATTAGAAACACCCACCTTGTTTTTCCACTCACTGATCACTTTATTAGAAACACCCACCTTGTGCTTCCACTAACTGGCCACTTTATTAGAAACACCCACCTTGTGCTTCCACTAACTGGCTATTTTATTAGAAACACCTACCTTGTGCTTCCACTAATGGGCCACTTTATTAGAAACACCAAACTTGTGCTTCCACTCACTGGCCACTTTATTAGAAACACCCACCTTTTGGTTCTGCTCGGTGGTCACTCTATTAGAAACACCCACCTTGTCCTTCCACTAACTGGCCACTTTATTGGAAACGCTCACCATGTATTTCCACTCACTGAATCATGCTAATTTGTGGGGTATAATCTTCTATTACTTGTTAGCTATATTGGCCTTGTAGCTCCAGTTTAAAACTAAACAAGCAAACTTCACACACCAAACATGTCTAATGTCTAGACATTCCAAAGCTAATGTTGATAAGTGGCCACTTTATTTGAAACACCTACCTTGTGCTTGCACTAACTGGCCACTTTATTAGAAACACCTGCCTTGCGCTAACAATAACTGGCCACTTTATTAGAAACACCTACCTTGTGCTTCCACTCACTGGCCACTTTATTAGAAACACCTACCTTGTGCTTCCACTCACTGGCCACTTTATTAGAAACACCAACTTTGTGCTTCCACTCACTGGCCACTTTATTAGAAACACCCACCTTGTGCTTCCACTCACTGGCCACTTTATTAGAAACACATATCTTGTGTTTCCACTCACTGGTCACTTTATTAGAAACACCCACCTTGTGTTTCCACTCACTGGTCACTTTATTAGAAACATGTCTAATGTCTAGGAAGACGTCGTGTTCTGAGACACATAAGCTGGACGTCCGTCCCACCGCCGTCTTTTAAAGATCAGAGCATAAACTTCGTCTCCTCTGCAGACCAGTTTCTGCTCCGCCATGTTGAGCGGTATAAACTTTCACTATGACGCGACGAACATGATCAGAACGGACTTAAACTTTCCGATAGGGAATGTAATCAGATACAGGCGTTTACACGGATATTATTCTACTATTTAACGGATTATTTACAGGATTACCTGCCTCATTCAATCAGATATAAACTGTATTCCGAATGGCCTCAATCGGACTAGCCTATTCTGATTGAGGTGTTTATATGGACGCATTCTATTCCTATTGAGCTATTAGTTGGATTATCAATGGATTATCAGGCTGCATGTAAATTGTGAGCTGTTTATCTGCTTCTAAGCGCTGCTATATTACACACACCAAGAGGAGATTAAAATAATATAGGAATGAATTCTATACTAATCACTAATCACAAACACTTACGATGGAAAAATTACTTGTATAGTGTAAGAACAGTCTTCAGAGTGAATCTGGAGAAACAGAGGTCTGAATAATGTGAAAATTTGCAGGTGGTGTTGCTATGGGAACATGAGAAGATGCTTAAAAGCCTGTTCTACCAAAACCCGTTTAACTATATATAAAAGCCACGTTGTGTTGCATTAGTTTGTGCTCCGCTCTCCCCTGTTAGGACAGTAATGACTGTAAGCAGGACTACCAGTCAGGCTTCCGTTCAAACTGAACAACAGCCGAAAGCAGTCAGTATAAAGAGCAGAGCTCAGGCTCTTCTGTACATCACTAACACGGTTCATTTTACATTCGTCAGCTCCATCTCTGTGCCTCTGCCCACCACCATGCATAATTAATTAAATTTTAATTATCTAATTAGTTAAACCCAGATGCTCCGGATGTGAGATGACTGAGCTCACTCTGATCTCAACTCCTGTTATGCAAGCATGTTACACGTGTGTGCATGTAGGAAGAGATACAAATGAAGTTGACACCTGTTAGAACAGACTGAGCTCCACGTGACTGTATCTTGTACTTTCAGTCACTGGCCACTTTATTAGAAACAGCTACCTTGTACTTCCACTAACTGGCCACTTTATTAGAAACAGCTGCCTTGTGCTTCCACTAAATGGCCACTTTATTAGAAACACCTACCTTGTGCTTCCACTAACTGGCCACTTTATCAGAAACAGCTACCTTGTGTTTCCACTGATTGGCCACTTTATTAGAAACACCTACCTTGTGTTTCCACTAACTGGCCACTTTATCAGAAACAGCTACCTTGTGTTTCCACTGATTGGCCACTTTATTAGAAACACCTACCTTGTGTTTCCACTCACTGGCCACTTTATTAGAAACAGCTACCTTGTGCTTCCACTCACTGGCCACTTTACTAGAAACAGCTAACTTGTGTTTCCACTCACTGGCCACTTTACTAGAAACAGCTAACTTGTGTTTCCACTAACTGGCCACTTTATTAGAAACAGCTGCCTTGTGCTTCCACTAAATGGCCACTTTATTAGAAACACCTACCTTGTACTTCCGTTCACTGGCCACTTTATTAGAAACAGCTACCTTGTGCTTCCACTAAAAGGCCACTTTATTAGAAATACCTCCCTTATAGCTCCACTATGTAGGTGTACAGTTACAGACTGTAGTCCATCTACTGCTGTACAGTTTATCAGCCCCTCTGCCTTGTTCCTCACTGGTCAGTTTTTGACCACTGTCATCCAGATATTATTTGGGTGGTGGTCCATGCTCAGCACATCACTGGCACTGACATGGTAGTGTGTTTGGACCTGATACGAGTATTTCAGACACAGTGGTGCCACTGGTTGGTCCAGAGTGGACCGTCCACCCAAAAATATCCAGACAAGAGCGGCTCTGTGGTCAGAAACTGACCATTTATGAAGGACTAGAGGATGACCAACACTAACTGCATGTCCAGATATGAGCTAAAGTCTGTAACGGCGAGGTGGAGGGGTTTCTGATAAAGTGGTCAGGGAGGCTTTAACACTAGCGCAGAGCTGCATGAGAAGGACAGAAAGTTTAGTCTGTATTTAAACAACCTTTTGCTCTTCAGGCTGTCTAAATGTTCTAGCTTCATGTTCTCACCTCTGTCTCCAGCCAGCAGCAGCCACTGCTGCACCAGAGATAACGAATCAGTCTGCAGGATCTGACACAGCAGCTCCAACACCTGAGAGAGAGAGAGAGAGAGAGAGAGAGAGAGAGAGAGAGAGAGAGAGAGAGAGAGAGAGAGAGAGAGAGAAAGAGAGAAAGGAAAAAGAGATAGAAAGATACATAGATAGATAGATAGATAGATAGATAGAGGGGGGGAGACGTAGAGAGAGAGAGAGAGAGAGGGAGACAGAGAGAGAGCAGAGAAAGAGTGAGAGAGAGGAGAGAGAGAGAGAAGGGAAAGAGAAAGAGAGAGAGAGATGGAGAGAACAGGAAAAGAGAGAGAGAAAGACAGATCGGGAGAGGGAGGGAGGGAGAGAGAGAGAGCAGAGAAAGAGAGAGAAGAGACAAAGGAGAGAGAGAAAAAGAGAGATAGATAGATAGATAGATAGATAGATAGATAGATAGATAGATAGATAGATAGATAGATAGTGAGAGGGAGAGAGAGAGAGAGAGAGAGAGGAGAGAGAGAGGGGGAGAGAGAGAGAGAGAGAGAGAGAGAGAGAGAGAAAGAGTTCCATTATCACTATTGTTAGTATTTAGCATTAGGTTCATTGGCAGCATTTAATTACAGTTCAAACCAATTAAAGGTGTTTAAAATGTGAGAAACAGAGAGACTTTGATCTTCATTGTGTTAATTTAACTACTGTTTAGGAAAGAGTCTGTATGAAGAACAACAAGGACAAAACGTAAATAAAGATCAGAGGCCATATTACAGAAACATCCTATCTGTCTGACTTAAGTTACGATCTGACAGGTCAAGATAACATTTTTCACAAATGTGCGTAACAAAAGCAAATCTGATCTTAACTTAGGAGTCTTATCTCACAGCATCTGATCTCCAGTTAGGAAACCCTAAACTACTCAACTGAAGTTGACAGTCAATTGTTATGCCTGTTTCCTAACAACCAACAATGCACGAACAGCTGAAACGTAAACACATCATCAAAATAATGTTAAAAATGTGAGTCACAGCTGCAGTTACTGGTGTAAAGAAGGTCAAAACAAAAGTGTGATAAACTGTAAGTAGTGAATACTGTGAGAGCGCCCCCTGCTGTTTATCAGAGCGTCGCCGCTCACCAGTTTCAGTCTCCATTTCCCAAACGCTTTAGCCGAGCGCGCTAACGTTACTCCTCCTAATAAACAGACACACGTTCAGCTCCGTCTCCTCGTTATTCACCACCATCACTGTAATATTTCATCATCAACATTAACACACGAAGGTGATCAGAGGGGCGGTGGAGATCGAGTCTGCAGCGTCTGAGATCTTTAAAATGCAGAGTTAGAAAAGAAAATCATCTCACAGTGAAGCAGCGTTTTACAGTAGAAATAAATGGAGCTCATTATGCTGGTAGTGAACTATGCTGCTGACTCAGCTGCCTAAAAACCATAGAAACGGACCTTAAACAGAAGTGAGGACCCTGTTGGGGTTCATCCTAAAGTTAGGACAGGATTTAGGAGGTTTAGTCCAGTTAGGATGTTTGTGTGATGCTGTTTTCTTATCTGGAGTTCATGATGAGATCATGAAGTTAGGAACTGTTATTCTGTAACAGCTACTGAACTAAATTCAGTCCGTACTGAAGTCATCATGGAGATGTTTCTGTAATACGGCCCCAGATCACACCCTCTTTACTAAAAGCTAATAAAGGCTCCTAAATGGTTTTTAGCTTGGTTCTAGAAAATGGTATAGAACCTTTACATAATGTGGAAGTTCTATAAACTTTAAAACTCTTCACAGACTTGTTCTTGCAGCTGTAAAGTGATTGTAAAGCCCAGTGTGGTATCTCCAGAGTGTTCAGGCTGAGGGTCTTTATACAGGAGCCACCAGGAGGGCGGCATTTCCTCAGGGACGGAGAGGTGGGTTCTCCGTTATGTTGAGAAAGACATTGCATGGAAACCGTTAAAGGACAGACGGTACCACTTGCTACCTTCATCCCCAGAAACTGTCTCAGCCAGACGCCAAACCACAGAGGATGTTAGAGGTAAAAGGGGCTTCTATCAGACAGAGAGATCAGAAAAGGAGGAAAAAATAGACGAGACACTGGATCAGACTGTCAGACAGACAGAGTCAGGGTTACAAATACTGCTGAACCTCTCGAAACTATCAGTGACTTTTCCACTCGTTCCCAAAGGGCCGATGCTCCTTCGGAACGAGAAGCACTCCAGCATTTCTCTAAGCGTACAGCTTTGGTTCTCCTATAATTCGACTGAATTTGCCTTTTTGTTCAAACTACATGATTTAGCACACAGTCTGTGCTCAAAACACTGTGGCATCAGTGTAGAAGGAGACATGGCCATGATTCCGCTGCGAGAAGTGCTCTTTTATTGAACCACCAGCAAAATAGCACTGAAAAATGGGGGAGGTCACCATAAGCCACAGGCGTCCACCTCATGGTGCCGAACACTACAAAACATCCAGATCCCCAGACACAATCAAACACAACACATCCTTTAAGTAATTAAAGTCCCTTTTACGGGGAGCGCGCATCTCCCATGAGCCTCTTTGCACGGCCTTTTGCATGGCCATGCCTCCCGTGCTCCTCTAAGGCAGCACAAACCAGTAGCGGGACGCGACATAACCCCCCCTTCAAAGGTCGACCGTCTAGGCAAACTACCAGCCCACCGCCTCACAGCTCACCAAGGCAAGTCCCACATTACTGGGGACGGCGACAGCAGCAACAGCACTTCTCTTAGCTGCCCTTCGCTTCTCCCGCCATTCCACCGTTACTTGTGCACGCTGAAGTGATCCTCTGCCTCAGGTCCGCCGCTTTGTACACATAGTAGTATTGTTACCCATGAATTTTTTAGGTTGAACTGACAAATCATTTTTTACTGTGTGCTCTGCTATCAAGCCTCACCATGTCGCCTCCCATACTTGCAGTCTTTTGCCGGGCTCTTCCTCACCATTCACCATAAAGTTCATCAAAGCACTGTTCTACTCCAGACCGCTGGGGGGGGACACTATCCCACTTCTGACACCAGTGTGGCATGCTGCGAGTAGTGCTCTTTTATTGTACCACCAGCAAAAAGGCACATAACATGGCACTGAACAATGGGGGAGGTCACCATTAGCCACAGGCCTCATGGTGACCAACACCTATCACAAAACACCCACACCCCCAGACACAATAAAACACAAATAACACATCCCTTAACTAATAAACAACCTTATAAACAACACATAAATGTCCACTTTATGGAGAGCGCGCACCTCCAGTAGCCTCTTTGCACTGCACTTTGCATGGCCACGCCTCTCGACCTTCTCTGAGGCAGCCAAACCTAGTGGCAGGACATCACAATGGACCTTTTTCACAGTCACTGCGTCGTCACATCCGGCTGTAAATAGTAGTGTTATTGAACTTCCGCCTGCACCGTTTAACAGAGCGGCAATGGAAGTTCGCCGGTTTTCAGCATCCCTCAAAAATCGTCCTTCGCCCTCAGCTTGGTTAATAGAACAGCATGTCTGGTAGTTCCTCCAACATGAGCAGAAGAGCTAGTCTGACTAAAGCATGTCGTGCCAAACTTTGAAATTTGAACAGAGCGGATTATTATGTTCAACACCACATCACACATCCCTAAACAGATCTGCACTCACTGCTCTTCTGTTCAACCAGGTTTAGTTCTTCCTCACTGCGCTTTTGTCCACCAGGTTTAGTTCTTCCTCACTGCGCTTTTGTCCATCAGGTTTAGTTCTTCCTCCCTGCACTTTTGTCCACCAGGTTTAGTTCTTCCTCCCTGCACTTTTGTCCACCAGGTTTAGTTCTTCCTCCCTGCGCTTTTGTCCACCAGGTTTAGTTCTTCCTCACTGCACTTTTGTCCACCAGGTTTAGTTCTTCCTCCCTGCGCTTTTGTCCACCAGGTTTAGTTCTTCCTCCCTGCGCTTTTGTCCACCAGGTTTAGTTCTTCCTCCCTGCGCTTTTGTCCACCAGGTTTAGTTCTTCCTCCCTGCACTTTTGTCCACCAGGTTTAGTTCTTCCTCCCTGCGCTTTTGTCCACCAGGTTTAGTTCTTCCTCCCTGCGCTTTTGTCCACCAGGTTTAGTTCTTCCTCCCTGCGCTTTTGTCCACCAGGTTTAGTTCTTCCTACTCAGTCCGTGTAAACATTAGCAACATTAGCAAGTGCCCTGAACACCATAACCAGCTCAGAGACACAGCATCGTATTACTGCATTACAGTTATTGATCACCGAGCTACAGTGGAGAGGAGTCAGTTTCTCAGCGTTTTTCATCAAACCTCTCTGATGACCATCTCCAGGATTCTAAACACAGCAGTGAATGAATGTTTGTCTTGGAGCATTTTAATCACAAATCTGAGTAAATCTGTCCTGCTGTGTCGCCCGTATTCACTCTACAGCTCAGTTTTACTCTCTTTTTTTGATTGGCTACCTTGTCAAAAGTGACACATGACAAGCAGAGCTTTTCAGCTTAAGTCCATAATTGTTAAACCCGATCGAGTATAAACAAAGGTGAGGCTGTTTGGTTGAATTATTGGTGCATTAGGAACGCAGCAATGATTTTGGGCAGTATCAACCATTGTTTACAGTGCGACCGGAAGCCATTTAACACTACTATTTACTCTTCCACATGAACCAACACGGTCTATAGCCAACCACATACTGTTTTCATACTGATTGTGTCCTAAAGAATGCAGCAGAGGTGAGTAGAAGCTGGTCACGTTTACTCCAGGCGTGAACCCGTTCAAAGAATACACATCTGGGGACAACCTGTTAAACTTTCTGGTGCTGGATTGTGGCGAAATCCACTGCCAACAATGATAAACCTCCCTAAACCCTGCCTCAAAGTCACGCAAGTGATTCCTCTTCAGTGTATGAAGTAAAATCAATAACATGCAAAAGAAGCTAGCTAGCATACTGCTATCGTTAAGATAAGCTATCATTTGGCTATTAGCGCCAAAATTAATGTTTCAATGCCTTTCAATTTCGTTTAGTCAGAGATCTGCTGGATGCACTAAATCTGTTCAATGAAACCACTTCAAATACTGTATTTGAAGACATTGAAGAA